GGGGCTTTTGCAGCTTCTGAAAAAGTTTGCTTTTCTATTCGTTCCGCTGTTTTTAAGGCTGAATTGTGTATGAAAGGCCTATCACAGTGAATATCAATTAATCATCCTCTCTTCAGGCTTGGTTTCCTCATCGAGAGTAAACTAAATTCATCCATAAAGATGGATTTTGACCACTAGGTGCCAGTCCCGTCCACCCCCTAAAGATAGCTTTTTATTGTTTTTACAACATTCCTGTACTGTAATAATTTTGTTTTTCTGATTGTAGGAGCTGAAAAGAGAGATTGAGGAAGTCACAAATGAATTGGAAGGAATCGACATAGGAGATGAAAAGTAAGTGACTGTCTGTCTATAGCATTGTATCACTGCTGATGAAAGGTGGAAGTTGATTACTCATATGTTTATACCACTGCACACATAATTATTTGTAGAACTCTCTCTCTCTCTCTCTCTCTCCAGAGTTGTGTGTATATATATGTATGTATGTCTGTCTGTTCGTCCACCTCTGTTTGTATGTGCGTGCATGCATGCTTGCCTACCTACACTACCTATGTACCTACCCTGTCTGTCTGTTTATCCCTCCATTTATCTATTCATCTAGCAATATATATGTATGTGTGTGCGTGGCATGTATAAAACATATGCACAGTTTAACCTGAAACCGCCACTTTTCAATTCTTTCCTTATTTTTTTCCCCATTAAAATGACTTTGTGTAAGACAGCCACTTTTTTCTTTGACAATGGGTGGCCATCTTAAACAATTGCGACAGTATTTTTTGTCATCGTGGTGAAATCAGGTGCTCGTCAAAATAATAAAATCCAAGCATTGGAAATATTTCCGCCCACAGGACAATTTATTTCTAATAATGGCCCTACATCTTTTATGTCCATTTAAGAACACATTACATGGCTGTAATTCAGTCCAAACATAGTTTTTCGTTGATAGTTCTTGTTTGTTGTTCTTCGCTTACATAAAGTACTGGTTATGAGGTGGCACTTTACTTGAAGGTGTGCCATTTTGCTTAAAGTAAAGGCGTTATTATTTCCCATGAAATAGTTTTTCTTTTTTACATGATCTCGTCTTGTCTCTTAAATTTTTTAGCTGCTCCTTTTTTCCCTGTCGCGATGTTGATATTTAAAGTGAGCGTTTAAAAAAAAGTTTCCAAGATGGGAGTCGGCGAAATGTTATGGTTATGACATTCGCCTTATAATTCACACGCAAATTCTATCTTTCTAATGTTCAGTCTCCTTGACAAGGCAGATAAACATTTAAAAAAGATAATAAAGAAGAGCCAGTCTGCTTTCCATGTGTTTATTTTAAATGACCCCCACTCAATCTGTTAACTTCTGTTGTTTTACTTGTGCTTACCCATTTACTGACTCGGTTTCTTACTTGCTCGCTGACACACTTTTGAAGGTTGAAGGATCCACGGAGGGCAAGAAAGCTCGAATATATTATTATTCGGTGTTTAAACTGCTCCCTGTGCTAGTCTTATTTATATATTACCGTATGCAATACTTTGTATTGTCTGTCACCCTGCTTGCTTGCACACCTGCTTATCCTTA